GTTGATTCTTAAAAAAGCGAAAAACATTAGACTTCTTAATAAATGTGGAACCCAAAACTTCTTAGGAAGGACTTATCTGCATTAAAGAACTGCATTAATATTTTTGCTTGGTTTTATCAACTCCAAATAACATGCCTTATGCTCCCTCTTTCTACTTTTAGTTTCAGCAAGCTTCGCATCAACTCTTTGTCTCATTTCCATAAGCATATTTATATTGTACTCAATATCTTCAGATATAGCTGCAGATAGCGTTCCTGTTGCACAAAGACGTGAGTCACGTGAAAGCATCTAAAACCCGATCTCGGACGTTATTTACCGATCCTTGTTAAGTTTCTAACCTTTTCTTTCTGTTCTTTTAAATACTCCACCCATCTTGCAATTCTTTCAGCCAATTCATTTTCTCTCAGACGCGCCTTCTCTACACGATCAGTGAGTTCAGAGATTTGAGCAGAAAGCTGAATGCATCTCTAACATATAACCATTTTTCAGTAGATTCATCAATTTTTGCCGCTCACCACACAAATTTCGTTGAGTTGTGCTATCTTCTTCTTCTCATAATCCTCAATTCCTTTTTCAAGTGTAGAAAGACAGTTTGACAATTCCTCGTGTATTCGATTGATTTTGTTCTGCAGGCAAGACTCGTATAATAGTGCTGCACTGATCCTGCGTGAACACACAACTGCTCTAGTGACTATACTTGACGTACCACAAAAAGTCGCTTAAACAACTACAAGAAAGGAGATACAATGGCATAGTTTTCTACTACAATTATCCGCGTCGCGTTTCTTGCGGTTGTGGTGCTGCCTTTGAACTGGAGCACGATTACCACTCTAATATGACTGCGAGCTGCCATAATCAAATTAGCTTGCTTCATAATTGGCGTAGCATACTAGATCATAATGGCGCAGTTTCGAGGGCATGTTATTGTTCTCGACAAACTGTGGTTGCGAATACGCTATGCGTGGGCCTCAACGAATTTTGAGAAAATAACTTATGATCATCACAAGTGAAGAGGTCAGTTTTAATAATGAAGGCCGTTTTGGGGGAGCCGAATCGTTCTAAGGTGCTTTTAAGCAAATAAAGTCTCGCCTTGAGTTCCTGTTGTTCTTTTATATCGTGAACCTTTTCAAGAGATCTTTGACTGGATAATTGCAAGAATTTTAACGACGCAATTTCTTGTG